GATCAAATTATTAAAAGGTGTGAACGATTTAGATATCTTGGGTCCGTTGTTCAAAACGATGGTAATATAGATGAGGATATTAATAATAGAATTCAAGTTGGTTGGTTGAAGTGGAGGAATGCTTCAGACGTTTTGTGTGATAGAAAAGTATTGATTAGATTGAAAGGAAAATTTTATAAGACGATGGTGAGACCTGCAGTGCTCTATAACGCTGAATGTTGGCCTATAAAATAGAAGCATAATAAATAAGTTAAGTGTTACCGAGATAAGAATGATTAGGTGAATGAGTGACTTTACACTTAAAGACAATGCAAAATGAATATATCTGTGATATGGTTGGTATAGCTCCTGTGACGGACAAAATTAGAGAAAGTCGTCTTAGATGGTTTGGTCACATTAAACGTCGACCGTCTGATGATCCGATTAGGAGAGTAAATGTTTTAGATTCGACTTGTGTTAAAAAAGGCAGAGGTAGACCTAGGAATACTTGGCCTTATTGTATAAACAATGATCTTAATTTACTATAACTAAATGAAAATATGACACTAAATAGGACGCAATGGAGAAAATGGAATCATGTAACCGACCCCACGCAATGGGATTAAGGCTTTGTTGTTGTAGTAGTATTTCTTCAGAGACATTTGTGGAGTAATAACATACATGCATATTGATTTATTGTTGTTTTAATTTATAAGCACTTTTATTCATATTGAATGAGAGATATTTAATATTATTCTTTTATCTTTTATTTAGTTACAAATCTTTTTTATTGATGCTAACATTTTTTTTTATATATATTTTTTTTTATTTTTATATTTTTTAGAGAAACAATTGATTAAAGTAGTGAATATATATTTTTTAGAGAAACAATTGATTAAAGTAGTGAAATGAAATAATTATAGAAATCAACATTGTTATCCGTTACAAAAGAAAATGTTAGTCATTTAAATGAGTTGTTCAAGTTCACATGATTTATATTTCATGCTATATTTTTATACTACACATACTAAAAAATTATTAATTTATTAGGCCATTTAAGTTATATTTAAAATTTTTTTATATTTATGATGTCACCTGGTTCAACCCCAATTTAACCGTTGAATTTCCGGTCCGGTTTTTTGAACCTTGATCGTAAGATTAGAGAAATACATGTAAACATGATGCTGATTTTACAAAATTATAATTAAATTGACGGTTTATATGGATCCAAGAATAAAGGAATAAAAATTCTAAGCTGTGCAGAAAAACTAAGAATGCTAGCATAGATTTGTGGCAAAAGTAGGAAGGATAACTTAATAAATAATTAAATGAGAAATATGAATGAAGTATAATTCATTGAAGATATTGTAGTAGAAAGTAGAATTAGGTGACTTTGAAATGCCTAGCAGAGTAGAGAGTAGAAGATACTGATTTACGCAAAATAGAACTTGTGCAAAATGATTTACGCAAAATAGAATTATCATCAAAATTGTCAATAAGAATGAATAAAGAATGAAGTTCACAAAGTCAGCTCCACGGAGTTAGAATGATACTAACAAGCTCCTAGTGAACACCAAAATGATCTTGTAATCGACATCAAAATGCAATATAACACCCTATCTTTTTCAGCCCAAATTGATTCTCACAAATGATGCAACCAGTATTAAATGCTGCATAATTAGCCTTCTCATGTACTGAGATGTCATTGTTACACGTCTTAACATTATTTAACGATTCATAACCCTAAAAAAAGTATATATATTTGGATGCTCATTCAGAACCTTGTTACCATTTCTATAGAGGTAAACAAAATCCATATAATGAAGATGATGGTATGCGTGATAAAATATTGGATCAGTAAGTTTGCAGTAAAGAATCTAGATAATATAAATAAAAACAAAATCTCTGTAAATGAATAAACACTTGAATAATGCAGGTTAATTTGAGTAAAAGTAACTTGCCTACAATAAAGTACAAACATACAAATACTGAACCGGTTATGTAGTTGAAATTATCATTATGTCCAAAAGAAAGCATCTGCAAGTAAAAGCAAGTCTACTTTAAAGTTCCTATTTAACACTACAGTGAAAAGGATAATAAAGAAAAGGGGCATTTACATACATACATCCCAATTCCTAAACTTTGGTTTTTATGTTTTTAACACCCAAATCTTTCAGTTCACATAAAAAATACCAGCATTTTAATTTTTAAAAAGTAAAATGTAAATTAAGCATCGGTAAGGTGGTATGTATGTAGAAATTGAAGTTTAGGTGTTAGATATGTAAATACATAGGAATTGAGTGGTATGTATGTAAATCAACCTAGGAAAAAAAAACATACATGGACGCTTGTGGCAAGGGCAAGTGCTGAGCTTGATGTGAAGCATACAAGAGAAACAGCCGCCAAACTTGCAACCTGCATTAAAATAAATTAAAATTGTATTAGAACAGAATAATATAATATTTTAATATTACCGAGCCTTAGAGCATCAATTGGAATTTTAGTTACACTCATCCAACATGAGTTCATGGTATTATGTCACAAAGTTCTCTTCAATCTAAACAAAGCAAGAAACATGAAATTCCATATATAACCATGGGAGCAGCGAAGCCATTGCTTTTACAAAACATCAAAATAACAAGAAACCCATGAGATAATGAAAAAATTTCAACTTGTTACAACGACAATTGTACATGCATATGTCACTTACTAATTTTCCTGGAACGAGTGGTTAAGAAATTACAATTAGAGGTTGATTACATATTTAACGGATTTTATCAATCTGATAAGATGTTTAAACTGATCTAATTTCCCATTTAACGAGGAAATTTGTAAATCTGTTTCTTTTTAGTTTATTTTTAATAAGCAGAGTATTCAGTACAAAAACACCCTATATACATGCACGACTGAACCAACGCACATCAATCTCACTGATATCCTGCATTACTAGAAACTTCATGCATTGGTACACACTTTTTCAACCTATAATTAAATACTTATAATATGTAATTTTCTAAATAGCAAAGTTGCATATTTTTTATTATTACAACAAGTACTGGCAAAAGCTCAAAAAGTACTGTAGCAAATTTTGAGTTAGCAATAAATTGTTCCAACATAAATTATTACCCATTAATCCAGTTAAATGATTGAAGTATGAATACAGCTGGGCTTTCATTTAACTGAACGGCCAAAAGCTTACATTTACATGGGCTTAAGACAATATAGTGGAGAGATCACTTGGTTTCAACTTTAAGCTGAGAAAAATCTATTCCAAATTTAATTCTATCTTAAATCAAATTCAGATTGGGTCAATTTTAATTCAAACTTAAATCAAATTTAAATTAGGTACTTCTTGGTTTGATCCATTACCAGGAAACATGATTTCTACTTTTTCTTAGCCCATGCAGTGGTACAAAGGACAAACATAAGAGAAAAAATTAGCATGTAATCTTTTACGAGTGTGAAAACAAGTTCTACTTTACTTGTGCTGACTTGGCTTTGTTATATATGCATGCCACACACAAAGGACTAACAATGGATTACTTGTGAGTGTCAAACTCGTCACCAAAGCACTCTATTTGGCTTCACCATTGCTAGAACTTAAACTGGCCTAAATTATTTAAGAACAAACAAGAATGGAACCACCCTTTCCAAATATGCTAAAGTTTAGCTCTAGAGTCTAGTTACACTTCAATCAAGCTTAAACATCACCATGGTACATAAAACCTTTTGGAGACAAAGGCTTCATTTTTCACTTATCACATCATGCCAAGATAATCAAAACTTCATCATTCACTTTCAAAAATAATGCAGCAAATAAAAATCAATCGAACAAAATGAAGTCGACAGAACAGTAGTAGATGCTGATGTTTTGGTCTGTTTCAATGCAATCATAAGAAAGTAGAGGCATTCATCGCTTTAAATCATTTAAAAACCTAAAATTTTACAGTTAATCATCAGGGGTGCTTTTTGCGGATTTAATCATAGCTAAATTTTTATATATAAATTCTATAAAACCTAGATTTTTTTTTTTTTGAGTTTATATTAACAATTTACTGGCACTTTATAATTGCTTCCATCATTATATAAATAAATTCTAATTCATTTAACATATATGATGCCATGGAAGTTCTTATTTCGGATGTGAACGCTCATCTTTTTCATCTAATTAAGAATTGATGTTTGATCATATGTGAAGCCAAGATTCCTATCAAGAGAGGCAATCACCATTGTTTTCTTATTAATCTTCTCATTCTTTCCGTCTCTATGTTACCGTCTCAGTTAATTTTTAAAATCATTCTACATCAAATTAATATCAAATCAACAAGTCTGTCATTTTCCATATTGCATCACTTTTAAAACCAATGTGTATGAGCGCTTTCTTCCAGTTTTCCAAAACAAGAAAACTTAACTACCCCTTAATACTAACAAGCGGTATATCTAACGTACCGCACCATGTCTCCCTTATTCAGTTATAGCAGCAGAGAAAACTTCATTCAGGTTGGAAAAGGAGTCCTTTTCAAGTATATGAATACAAACTCGACCATACTCAACATTTACAACAGCTGGAAATTCATAATTCTTTTTCCTCTACAAAATTTGTAGCATGGTTGCATCACCACGGCTTCTCATTTTAATACACTGACAGTAATCGAGTTCGACCATAAATTTTCATTTTTTAATAATATTCAATAGCCTTAAGAGTACCTTTCTTGGTGCGAATTTTTGTTTCAATCTAATAGACTACGACAACATTACATTGAAATATGTTCGCTTCACCGTATCCTAGATATCCTTAGCAGTGGTAAAAAAATATAGGTATCGTTGAATTCTAGTATCATTGAATTTTATATCCCATAAATAACTTAGGAATCTTCTATATCCTGTATGGCAAAATTAATAATATATTCGTTTGGTATGAGGCCAATTAGGTGGCCAAACTTTTCCTTTCCTTCGAGAGAAATTTTCACAATCTAGAATTAAGGTAACCTCTTCTATGCAATTTGAATGAAGATTGAAAACTTTAGTACTCCCCTACTAAGGATTGAATAAATCTGTTTGATTTGACCAATATATCCCGGAATAGAATACATTTTCTTTAAAGAAATTTGTTCTCTTCTAGTTGGTGGTTTCTTGCGCTGGGATAAGTAGTAGGTGAAGTCAATGGAGTAAGGAGATGAAAGGCTGAGAGGGCAAGAAGAATATTTGGGTCTGCTAGAATAAAACAATTGCAAAAATAGGGTCAACATGGCCTTATTCTTAGAGTATTGATAATATGAAAGGGAGGATAAATGATTTAAATTATTTATATATTTCACTGGGGATCTAATCTCCCTATTTATCCAACAGAATTCTAGGTCACTCTCAGTAACTTCCACATATGAAACTACTATTAGAATTAAAGACAATAATATAGCTGCACACATTTCATTCCCAAAAAAATTAACGAGATATTTGCTCTTTGAAGAGCCCACAAATTGACAACTTACCTACACATTTAACTGCCAGCTTTGCAATCATATGGATTTGTGAGGTGGCCTCTAAAACTGCCAACAATTTAATCATATGGGATGGTCAGTGGGATTTAAATCATTGCAATGAATTTCCAGATAGGAATTTAATCTGCTCGTGTTGTTCTTGGCAACCTAACAGGTGAAATTAAAAACATACCAACTAGATCTATCATGGGTATTTTGGGCCCTCATATGATCCATAACTTCTAAAGATACAAAAAAAAAAAAAAAAAAAAAAAAAATTTAAATATCTAAATTAGAAATCCAGGCTTCGCTACAACAAAAAAGCCAAAAAGAAGTACCAGTAGATTATATTTAAGATCTACACTGGCTATACCCCTTCACAGCAAAGGATAAACAATGAATAGAGACATATAAGGGTACCGTCAAGACTGATAAAATGGATTTGGCTTGAAGAACCACTAAAATCAACTTTGTTTGTCTTCAAAAGAGTCGGACTTGAACCAATATGAATTACCAATAACAAACCAGAATTCAACCAAAATTGAATCACCTTCTAATTAAGTTCAGGTAAGTTCTCGGGTTAAATTAACATTCATGAGCTTGGCAACATCATTGTTCTGATCTAGGGCGTTTTGGAAAAGAAGGCTTCAATCTTCATTCATTGCATCATCCCACATAAACAAACTTCTATAAAAATCTTAGGATTAATGCTGCAATTAAAACTAAACCGAACAAAACCAGGTTGCAACAAATAATAGGTGTTTGTTTTCATCAATTACACCAAAATTAGTGCATGATGACTTTAAAAAATGCAAAGTTAAAAACTTACGGTCAAATTAAAAAGGATAATTTTGATGAATCGATTCATTGAACAGAATTTCTACATATAAACTCAAAAACAAAATTTTAGGTTTTGGCTGAGTTTATTTATATAAATAAAGAAGAAAAAAACTACAAATTTTGGTTCAAGTATGCCAGAGCAAACAGACGAGTACAGTCAACAATTAAACCATAAATAAAATATGAGTGCTTTCGGAAACTGATCTGAAACATAACTTATTAAAAAACAAAAACTATTTGGCCTGAATTGATAATTATGTCACTTTTGTACAAAAGAGAATATCAGCAGGTTACAATTAAAAATACGCATCGGTAATTACAGTCACGCCCAGCATAGCCACCTCACCCTCGCAAGTAAGCCCAGAGACCTGTGAAACCACAACAAGCTTGGCTCATAAAATTAGGCAGCACAACAAGGGACAAACTCTAGAATTGCCAAATAAGCTTCCCTCCACTGCCAAATAAGTCATCAGTCTATGTTATCTGCCCAAAGGGCATTCCCTAAGGAAAAATAAGAAATTATCGAAAAAGAGTACAAGCATAATTCCAAAAGATGATAGAACAACGATTCAAGAAAATTTTAACATAACAAAGTTACATATGCACCATAAAGTTTGAAATCTGTCAACATAGACCTAAACACAACAAATTTTAAGATGAAGTAAACCCATAAAGTTTGAAATCTGTCAACAAAGACCTAAACACAACAAATTTTAAGATGAAGTAAACTATAACAGATCCAAGGAGTCAAAACATGTTCAATAGTATATAACAAGTTTATGAATTGAAAATGCACTAGCCATAGAAAAAATACCTTCCACATTTCAGTTGAGGTCATCTCTGAACGTACCTTGCGCATTTTTGAAAATAGTATGCCTCCTAAAAAAGACCAAAAAAGGGAATCTACAAGTTCAGTATTAAAGCTGATAGGAGCAGTTAAAGGAAAAAAGGTAATTGGCAAAGACTACCAACATGCAAAAACAGATCAAACTTAGATGTTTAAATTTTGTCCAAACAGTTGTATTCTGTAATCTTGATCCATTTTCTGAACTGTGATACCTTAGACTGTTAGCATTTATATTAGGATTAGTGTCAAAATAGCCCATGACTATTTAAAATTAGTCCCCATACTCTTTTGATATGAGTTGAAATAGTCTCCATGAAGGACTACTTTGGCCCCTATTAAAAGAGTAATGGGAACTAAATTGACACTTGTATAAATTTTGGGGCTGAAATAACCCCTCTATAAAAGGGTCAAGGACCATTTTGACACTTTTCCCTTTATATTAATGAATTTTGCCTCAAAATCAATAGGGCAATTCTATATAATTTTCAAAAGATTCTATCATATGCCAAATCATTAAGGTATTCAGAATGGTAGACTCTGGATAAAGAGTCAGGAAAACTATCACTGAATTTCAATTTTCAACGTTGGCATTATAAATACTAAAAGGGATGACGGAAAACTAGATTTTCACACACAATATAGCAACCATTAAAAGGAATCACAATTACAAGTCATCCTCCAAAAATTTTCAAGAAAAGAATTGGGGCTCACATCCTTATGAGAAACGCCAAGGAAAAAGTTTTCTAGGCTATAAATGTCAACCAAGGAGCAAGAAATAAACGAAAAAAAATTAGAATATCTAAAATATGCAATAAATAAGTTGCTCACCATAGAATGCCAATGCTATTCCCAATATGATAATAAATGCAGAGAAAACATAAAGATAAACCTGCACATTGAGTAAAGAAAAGAAGATGAAAGCTCATCCAGAAGAGATAACTGTCAACCAAACAGTAAGAGACATACACTGTCAAGCAATTAACTATAAAATCAGTGCAGAAACTAAAACTAATTCCAATTTAAAGGATATCATGTGAGTTCCATAAATACATTACATCACTGGAAAAATTATAACAAGAAACAATTTTAAGATGCTTATAGTTTGGTGCTGGGATTTTTCATCAGAGAGCAATCTGTTCACTCCATCATTAGAAAAGGAGACAAAACGTTGCAGAAATAATAAGACGAGGCAATAGAAGAAAGGTAACTGGGTACAAATGGTGCAATTAGGGATCTTTCAAAGGGTAGGTATTTAGGATTTGAGAAGAGACAAAATTTGTTATAAAGTTTCGAATAACAAATATGAATTATTTAATTAAAATTTAAGTTAATAAATTTATTTTAATTAAAATTCCATTCTTAAAATTACAGGATTATAACTAGGCAAAATGAACAATATTGCAATGAAGGTTAAAATACATAACTTTTAGGGGCTTTCTGGCAACGGATTTATCTCGGAATTTAAGCGAGATGTAAGCTAAATCCGACAAACAATCATTTTGGATAAAATAAAGTCGTTGATTTGTTAAATCTGAATTTCATTGATTTAAGCCGCAAATCCGAGATTTACTAAATCCTGCAAATCAATGGATTTATGTTTCTACACTGAGGATTTATGGCAGTGGTAGGTAAGGGCTCATCCGATAACGTGGATAGCTTATCCTTCCTCCCTCCCTCCAACAGTCCTCTTGGCGGACTATCATTTACCAGGCAAAGATGTTATATCTATGGTGCAGGCGATTCCTTTTCTCTAGCGCAAATATCCCTAGCTTCTCTTTGCGAGCAATTTTTTCCCTTTCCCAGTTCCGATCACGTACTTTTTCTTCTTCTCAGGTTCCTTTTTTCTTTTGAATGAAGTTTGATTCCCATCATATGGAATGCACAAACAATTTGGTCTTCATCATCATGCATTCTTCCCATTTCCATGCTTTGGATTCAAGTTTTTTGTAGTTGTTGTTGTTTGAGATCGTGGCTTTAGGTTGCTATAACTTTATTGTTGCTAGTTTTTGTGAGGCATGAATGCTTTCCGGGTTTGTCTTCACAATCTAATGTCTATATACTGCAATTTTCTTGCTGCTAGTCTGATGCTCTACATGGATTCATCTATGTTTTGGAGTGTTGTGGAAAAATTCTATGGCAGGTTGCAGTTTGAATGCTCTTTAGGATACGAAGACAATAATGAACTATAGTGATGACATTTTTGTGAGAGGTTTCAAACTGTTGTTGTTAATTCTCTGATTAGGTTATGTAGTAATTTCATATTAGCATGAGAGTAAAACCTAGCTTTCATGTAGTACTATGGACGCAAAATTGGGATTTTTTTTTATATTTTATGCGCTATGTATGCCCCCAGTCTTCAATGTTAAAGGAAGAAGGGAAGGAAAATTGGGGTTACATATAGTTACTAAATTTTATACAATGATACTTTCAAGTACAATGTTTGAATTAGCCATGAAAGAAGGGCTTGGAGATGGAATTGATGGCTCCATTAGATACACACTATTTATCTATCAAGTCCAAGTACTAAATTAGAAGATAGTTGCACTACATTGAGACAACCCAAAATCAAAAGCAAAGAGAGGGACAAGCCCTTACAATAAATAATAAAACTGAGATGGAAAAGTAGCAAATATGTCATATTTTCCAATTTCAACTCTCATATTCACAATAGGTGGTTGTGTTTCTTCTTGACACATAATATAGACAAAGTGGTATATTATTCTTTATTCATATAAAGCATAATTCCTCCCCCATATAATTATTTTAAAGCTTAATAGAATATTGATTTTTTTTTTTTTTGTGTGGGCATGTACTCGTGAAGTTCACAAGATCATAAAAATTTGTTCCTGCTATTTGAGGACTTTTATGCATTTGTTCTCACATCTCCATTTGGATTTTTTTTTTTTCAAAGTTTTATCACTACCCTAACAAACAAGAGCTCTTTTTTTCCTCCAAGACAAATTGTTGGAACCTCATAGTTTCACTTTAAAAGTTCTACGCATAACAACAAGAGAAAGAACAACTAATGTCAAAGGCTTTGACCATTGAGATGTATTGAAAAATATGTTAAAATCATGGTGATGAGAATTGTGGAAGGTTTCAAACTATTTTTGTTGATGCTCTGAGTTAAGTTATTTATCGTTGAAGTTTGAAGTTTCTTATCTGTAGTTAATTAGCATTTCCCTTTTTCTTTTCTTTTTCTTTTTTTTTTGCTTTGAAGCTGCAATGATATTTTCTATTTTTTGGTTTAGAATAATATGGTTGAAGTAACTTAATCAGACTAAACGACGGGAAATTCAACATGTACTGAGTTATTAAATCTTGTGGTTCACTTGTGGCCACACACATGCACACACTTATATGAAAAAGGAAAATGCATGAATTTTTCATGGGAACAATTATACTCATTAGATTTTGCAGATTTTCCTCTGTTTCAAGTATTGGTTCATTTTGATATTTAAAAAAATATGGAATGCATGCACATTGGTCATGTTGCATATTGCTTTAAATATAAAATTGCTTCATTGTGTTTTAGCACATGAGTTCATTGCACAAGTTAAGTAAATTCCTTTCGTTAATATTATAAGAATCTTCAAAAGCTCTAATTTCTTTTATAGGTTGTTGTTTTTTGAAAAACATGGGGAAAGTTCATTGTTTTCAACATATAGTATCACTTTTAGTAATATTAAAATTTGTTATTCATTCGTTAATAAAAAAAACTTTCTCACGTTTATCATAAATGACCTAGATAAAGTGTTATCAAAGTCCAACAAAGTTAACTATATTCAATGTTGTTCATTTGTAGGCCCTGTACAAATAACAACGTCAATGTAAGAACCTGTTACTTTAATTCAGCTAAGATGAGCTACGACTTGACTGCTGACTCAAAAACATCAGTTATGGTTGGAAAATGTAAATTTGGTGCAAAGAAAAATACAAAAGCGAAGACTTCATCATAAAATCAAAAGATCTAAACTAAAAATTGATGACAATTGTTTAGTGCAATGAATAGAATATCTAACATAGAGTCCAACGACCAAAATAAGTTGAATATAAAGAGAGGTTATGTCGGTAAGTGGAATCTTAACTTTTGTAGCTTAGATTCTGGCTTATATAAATACCATGAAATGGTTGCCTTTTGGATTTGGTATAATATTTGAACTTAATTTGTTTTCTTTAGTTATTATGTTTCTCTTAGTTCCATTGACCAGCCAACTTTTTATTAGTAGAAATGAAGAAATTTGTGCTCAAAAGTTCACTGCGTCATGTTAGGGGTAGCTCACGACCAACTCTTGATGATGACTAGTCAGTATAGTTTGGAGAACCCAAGAGTTCAACTCACACACCAAAGTGGTCGGAACAACATAATGTAACTCTAGGGAGTCACTTATGGAGCAATACATCCGCAAAAAAAATTCTCTCGGATGTGCTAAAAAAGTTCATGGAGCGATATCGTTAAAACACTTAATAGACGATTAGGCAATCCATATTTCATACCAATTGTGATGACTAAGTTCAAAAATATGAAAGTCAACTTCAAGATTGTGTATCAATTGTCTAATAGAAATGGTTGGGGTTGGGATGAAGAGTTACATTTACTAGTAGCAACTGATGAGCTTTGGGACGAGATTTTACAGGTAAGATTAATATAACTTTTTCCAAATTATTGCACTTACGTAATTGTGCTTGCACAAATTAATTCAAGTCAATGAATTACAAGGGAATTTAAAGTTGAGTCCTTTTAAACAAAATCTATTTCACCAATACGATATATTCAAGAAGAATTGTGCAAAAAATATTGTTGTTGGAGTATGGGTGAAATCGAGAATTGATCAAGAGTTGAGAAAAAAATTTGTTGGTTAGATTGTAACTGCACCAATGGATTACATAGTCGAGGATGAATTCATGGCTTCATATGGTGTTACCTTTATCGAGGATCTTAGCACTCGACAACCTAATGCAGACCTTTAACGATTACCCAACTGAGATCAAGAAACAGACCCACAGAGTGCTGGAACCAAAAGATGTAGTGTGGAAAAGGTTCCGATGTCTCGACAATCCAAAAGTAGAGTCGATAAGGAGCTATTTAACAAACTACTCTCTACGCAGGCGGAAACCACCACAGCTCTGAAAGAATCGTTGGATCATAATGTATCGGTATCAATAAATGATTGTCTTGAAAAAATAAGAAGTTTAGCTGACATATCACAAGAAGCCGCACTAGGCTTTCTTGATGCGCTCAACGAACATGAGAATAATAAGTATGTTTCCTTAGGAAATACGGCCTTAAGCTCGACGTTGGGTTGAGCATATTCTAGCCAAACAACCTCATTATTATTCATATCTGGCATGGATATGAAGATCGTTGACTATAGTGTGTCTTATTGTATCTTATTTATTTCAGTGAGAATAATCCTCTAGCTTCATTGTTGCACTGTGGTATGATTTTCCTCTATATTTCATATCCTTCGTTATATTAGTTGTGTTTATTTTGTCCAGTTTATCATTCAGACATCGTTATTTCAATTGTAACCATTATTTATTAACGCTCGATGAAATATTATCCTAGGCCGTATTGTGTACTAAAATTTTGTTTCAATATCACATGTATGCCTATTTACTCTCGTGAAAGTTTATCAAACAACATGCACAATCTCATTAACATTTACACGGATGTAACTAACGCCCTTACTGAGCTATTACTTGGAGTGATGGATAGTAGTTCATCCGACGATGATGAGGTATCACTAAAACCGATGATTGATAGGGCATACACAGGACATCAGTATGTAATGAATGCTCTTGTTGGACATCCCATATGTTGTTATAATTGTTTTAGGCTCTCACCGGAAGCCTTTACCCGATTACGAGACATTCTAGTGAATCACAATCTATTAAGTGATACCAAAAATATAATTGTTTCTAAACAACTTGAAATTTTTCTTAGAGGAGTTGCACATGTTCATTCCTACAAACAATTGTGTGAATTCTTTCAGCGTTCATTAGAAACAGTTGGGAGATACATCAATTGTGTATTGCAAGTCATTATCCCTCTGACTGAGGAATACATTTGATTGCCAGCTGAGGATTCCAAATGTCAACCATTCATACGGTTTAATCAACAATTTTAACCTTTCTTTGAAAATGTCATTGGGGAAATCGATGGTACACATATACATATTGTTGTTGATCAGGATTCACAGAACAGATATCGTAACCGAAAAGGATTCACATCACAATGTGTGATTGCGGCTGTTTCATTTGACAGTCAATTCGTGTTTGTTGCAACTGGTTGAGAGGGATCAAATCCTGATATGAAGGCCCTTTGTTGGTCGGTTGACCAAGGGTCTTTTCATGTGCCACAAGGACGATATTATCTCTTTGACTCAGGATATGCTAACACCAACTAATTTAAAACACCTTATCGTGGTTGTTGATATCATTTTAGTGGGTACCATTGATGAGGAACTAGGAGTTACTCCGGAGCAAAAGAGATGTATAACCATCAGCCCAATTATGAAATGTAGTTAAGAGAACATTTGACATATGGAAGGAGAGCTTTCAGGTTTTTAACCCATGCATCAATTTCCATTAGACATACAGGGTGATATAGTGATTGCTCGTGTCATCTTATATAATTTTATCGATCGACATCACGAACACGATATATACTTTAGCATGTCCCAGATATGAAAATTGGTGAGGTGATGAGCACAGATGATAATACTTTAGCATGTCCCAGACTAAAATACATCACGATATGAAAATTGGTGAGGTGATGAGCACAGATGATGACTCAAACGTGCATGCGAGTACTAGGGAAAAAAATGAAGGTGATAAGCTTCGTCACGCAATTGCAGCAAAAATGTAGCAGTCACATGTAAGAACTTTCTAAAAATCCTCTCCTTTTCATAAATAATTTAGGCATTATGTTTAGTTTATTTGTGTTGCAAGAATCTCAACGAAGACGACACAACACTTGATCATTTTATTTTTTTTTAACCCGAGTTTTTTGATGTCACACTAAAATCAGCATTTTACCTTCAGCTTGAGATACACGTGACACTGAGTTGCGAAAATATTTCTTTGGTATTGAAAGTGAACTGGAAGCTGAGTTCTTACTATATTAGTAATGTTCTGTACACATTGGTTTTCAGTGCTCCTTTTTATGGCAAGCATATGGTCTTTTTATTCACTCTCCCTCCCTAATCAATTAGCAAATTAGCTGGGCTTTAGATCATGGATGGTTCCCTTAATTAAGCAATTTCGGATGTGTACTTTCTTTATCTATTTTCTTTTGGGGATATCTGTTTTTTTTTTTTTGCTTCAATGAGGA